GGACTGAAGAGTTACTAAAAATCATTAAAAAAAAACTAATTGAACTTTTGTTTGGAGTTAGACATCTTTGTGTCCAGCCCAGCTTTTGTTTGTTGTTGTTGTTGTTTTTTTGTCCTCCAGCTGACAGTTATTGCAACTGTTCCTGACAGAGGAATATCTCTCCTCCGGGGAGAAAAGGCAGCTGAATCGCAGGACAAAGAGACCAAGGACGTTCTCAAATTCTCAAATGTGTGTTTAGAAAGTAAACACAACAAACCCAACAACACTACAACAGACACACACGCAGCATCACAACTCAAAGACCGACCCAGCTCATCTCTGCCTCTTTCTCATGACCTGACTACTGATCCTTGTGAGAGTTTCAATGCTTTTCAGCTACTTCATGAAAATCAGTTGACCGCCTCACGTTTCATGGCTCTACTACAATTTAATCTCTGTGATCGTCACACACAAGGGGAATAAACATTTTAATATTCTTACATCCCTTTCTTTAAGAGGCTTACACAGAAAAAAAATTTTAAGATTAGAAAATGAAACGTCTTTATAAAAATGACAGCTAACCCCACAGAGATTTCTCACTGACATACAGGACTGTGCAAAAGTTATCGTTCTTTATACTTTGCTTCCAAGGAGCTAGACTTTTGCAATTTTTTTATTGTCTTTCTCAATAATTGTTAGGCTTTCTAAAGGTCGTCTGTCAACTTTCTAACCATGTTTGGAGGAATTTTTTTATTTGTGCATTTGTTAATGCACTTTACGCCAATCGATAGGCATCATTTAGGCATAATAAAACTCCAGTATTCAATAAATTAACTAGGGTGCATTGACGTAATGGACATTAGGCAAAAAAAAAAAAAAAAAACGTTCAATTGTTTCTATCTTAACAGTAGGCTGCCACAAATACACCACTTGTTCATGTTTTTTGACTGAATCTATGAAAAATACTGAAGATAACAGTTTGACACATAAAATAATATTTTAACACCAACAAGGAGTTTTCCAAAGTTTTCCATGTACCAGTGAGAGAGTCTGCGTGAAGTTAATGAAGTCCAGTTAACCAGTGAATACAGGGTGCAGTGGTGGGTACGATAATCACAGCCAGTTATGAATCTTAGTGCACCATGATAGACAGCATCCAACATCCTGAATGAATGAACGAATGAGAATGAAATGAGAATAGTGACTCAACTGAGTTTGTCAATTCTTACAAATACATGGATATCTTGGTCATTTTGCACCTCTCTTTTAAGCTCTACATTGAAAACTTGGTAAAGAAACTGAAAGTAAAACAGAGTTTCTTTTTCAGAAACAGATCCTGTCTAACTCTGAATGCTATGAAACACCTTGTAACTGCAACTTTCCTTCCCTCTGTTGGTGACATTATTCACATGAACGCCCCTACAAGCACCCTGCAGATGTTCGACGCTGCCTATCACTATGCGCTAAGATTCATAACTGGCTGTGATTATCGTATCCATCACTACACTCTGTATTCACTGGTTAACTGGTCATCATTAACTTCACGCAGACTCTCTCACTGGTACATTTTCATCTTTAAATCACTTCCTGGTCTGCTGCCTTCATACATCTCCTCCTACATGTCTCTGTGTGAGTGCAGCTACAGCGTGCGCTCTCAGGACTTTATTATGCAGTGTTCCCTCATTGAGGACTGAACTTGGCAAAAGGACCTTCACCTACTCCGCTCCTGTTTCCTGGAATATCTTACAAAAAATCTGAAGCTCTCGACCATGACCTCTTTAAGGGAATTTAAACAACTGCTAAGTTCATGGCAAAAAACAACGCAGACATGTTCCTGTTTTTAGTATTTTACACCGCCTTATAATCTAGCTTTTTTTGTTTGTTACATTTTCTTTTAAACACCATTTTATTTTCATTAGTTAAAAAAAAAATCTCAGCTTGTACGAATCCTTTATGATTGTCTATTGTTGTTGTTGTTGTTGTCCACTGTTGTCATCACTCTTTGTTAAAATCAGGTCTCTCTTGTAAATGAGTCCCCGAAGCTCAATGAGACTAACCTGTTTAAATAAAGGTTGAATAAAAGAAAAGTTCATGGCAAAAACCAACGCAGACATGTTCCTGTTTTTAGTATTTTACGCTGCTTTACAATGCAGCTGTTTTCATTTCATTTTTTAACAACTTTTTCTTCCATTTAATTTTTCAATTTAACTGCTTTCTTTTATGATTGTCTACTCTTGTCATCACTCTTTGTTAAAATCAGGTCTCTCTTGTAAATGAGTCCCCGAGGCTCAATGAGACTAACCCGTATAAATAAAGGTTGAATGAAACACGAGGAAACAGAAAAGACCGGGCAAAACCCAGAGACCCCACAGTGGGTGACGTTTGTGTTCTGCTGTCAGCGTCACACAGAAGAGGAATGTTCTGAATCCTGTCCACGCTGTCACAGATCAAAGGGTGCTCACACACACGTTCACACACAAACGCACACACACACACGACAGCTGTGCTACCACAAAAAAAGAATCATCTCCATCATGTATAGAAAAAGATCTTTATCTAACCCAGATCAGTACAGGTGAACTCACCTGTCGGTGTGTACACACGTGTGCCAAAAAGAGAAACACTCCACCCAGCATGAATGAACAGTTTATTTACTGAAAGAGTCCAGTTTAATTATTTTCAGACGTGACAGTATTGTTTAATTTGGTGGCAGCCAAACTGACGGTCACATGTCAGATTTGTAGTAGTACATATACGAGATATATACATACAATTTCACGAGTTCCTCATCTTTCTGACTGTGTAAATGTCGTGCATTGAATTTTAACAGAAATGCGAACGAGAGACGTTATTATCTTTGACCCATCAAATGAATGCGGTCATTTATTTTCAGAATCAAAGTTTAACATCAAACATTTACACTAATTTGGCAAAATATGAAAATAATAACAGACAAGTTTCACAAAAATGGGCTTCAATCACACGGCGGTGATTGAGGACTTAGCTTCAGATATTTCTAAATATCTGTACTGATTTTAGGAGAAAGCAGAGTTTAAGATGGAAATGGAGAATTTATCTTACAGAGAGATTTGTGAGGGAATTAATCTGTTTGACCAGAAAACGTGCACGCTCCATCAGATCTCAGCTTGCGACGGTACGCTCGGTTGAAGTAGATCGTTACCTGGTTGACGATGAAATCAGCTCGGTATAGAATCCTTCAGACCTTTTCAGCGTCTCCGTTGAGCAGCTGAAATCCTTCGAGAGTCGTGCGTGGTGTTCAAACAGAAATTATAATCCCAACATCGTCACTGCATTCTGTATTCCAACGGAAGCACTCTGGGCTTCAGACATCAGAGTTTTCTCCTTCAGACATCAGAGTTTTCTCCTTCAGACATCAGAGTTTTCAGACTCTAGAACTTCTTCAGAACCTCCATCACTCTGAGACTCTTGGACCCTCGGACTCTTGCAACTCCAGCATCTCCCGTTTTCACAGAACCGGGAAGTTGCCACATTTTAAATGAGTTGACTTCCGGGTCAATTTTAGAGCTTTCTGATTCGTGGATGGACCAGAAAGAGGTGTGTTTTGTGACGTAAGATGTTATCATAAGTCGAGGTCAGAGAATGAGATTGTTCAACAACTGACAGAGAGATTATTGCAGAAAAGCAGACTTCGTGGAGTCAACTCTTCTGTATCTTCTGTAAAGATTAAACATGACATTTTCTTCTCAGTAAACATTTTAGTTGACCAAGACTCGACCTTTCACATACTTACAAAAGCTTGCTCCTTGAAGACAGAAAATCAAGAAATGCATATTAACCTGATTTCTTCTTTGAATGAGGAATAAAAATCATTACTTACTGTTTATGTAAAATAAAAATGAGTAGTTCTCTTCAACCTGTAACATTGAGTGAACTAACACAATTTGATTATCAAACATTTGTAAAACAGTGATGATCATAGAGAATTGTCTTTTCTGCTTGATTAATTCAAGAAAGAAAGTCACCAGATGGATCAAACTGTACTTCTGGATGCAGATCAATGAAATAACAGTCTCAGTTCATCTGATCAAGATTTGAGGTCATCAGGGTCAGATCAGGTTCACTACAGATTTGACATTACAACACAAACGTTTGAGGCTACAGCACGATTACTTCCCTTCATAACTTTTCTATGAAGCCGAAGCTGTAAAGGAAACATCTGAAATCTTAGCTGAGGAGAAAAATGATACTTCAGTAAAATAAACAGTTTGATTCTTTTGAAATTTTTAAGTTTTTTTGTTCTAAATGTCTAAATAACTGAAAAATGTGTGGACAATTTTCTATATTTTATCATGTTTTCTTGCTGTTTAAATGGATTTATTAGTGTCAGAGAATTTTTGGTCAAAGGTTGAGAGCTGGCTGAGAACAAGAAGCCCAAGACACAATCGAAACGTCTCCTAAGACACAATTTATCTCTGCCCATGAACCATATGTTTGGGTTAGCAGAGAGCGCTGGGTGAGAAGGCTCCTGAGCTCCGTGCACTCGGCTGGACTGATAAGGGTATAAGAGCGAGCGGATAACGTAGCTCAAGGAAGATTCTAAGAGGTCTATAAGCAATGAAATAAACACAGTCATATTTCCTAACCAAGGAATTTTTAACACAATCAGTATCTACAAAGCAACATTGGTGTCATTTGTATGATCTTTTTCTAAACTACAATCAAAACCACTGGTCAGAGGTTCTGGCAAACGACCCGAGAAATGTGAATGTGGCAAACGACAAGCTGAGCAGGAGCACATTGTGTCCCTTGAGTAAATGTCAGAATGCCTCATTTTTCACTAAGCATCTACTGTACGACAGTCCGAGTCACATTTACCAGCAGCTTTTATTTAAATCGCACAGGCTCAGAAACAAAAGAGTTTGTTGCACGTCCTGATTTGGGCTCCATTTCAGTTTCCAGTGCCGATGTTCAGAAGGACAAGGAGAGAAAATCTGAGCCCAGATCAGGACCTTCTGTATTTTTATTTCACTTTGTGAGAATCAGAACTCTGGTCCATCTTTCTTCAGGTTTTTATAGTCTGTAGTGATGGCCACAAACTGTGGAAGAAAGAAACATTAGGTTATAATTTGTCAAACAGCTGTGAAAACGTAATTCACACAGGGAGAGCTGTGAGGACATGTAAAGTTAAAAAAACTGTAGCCTGATTTCCCCCATTAATGAATCATTTTCACTAAAATATAATCTGATTATAAACTCACAATACTTATAAATGTTGTTTAATTTGTTCACATTTTTATCCAATAATTGCTCATTTTTGATGTGTGTTGCTTCTTATCATCCACAACGGGTGCAGTAGCACCCTCAGCACCCCCTTTACTCCGGCTTTGTTTGCATGTGGTCTGGGTTACCTTGTACTGGTACGTGGGGTCAAGTTTATTCCATGGCTCAGGGTTTTCATTCTTGTTCCAGCTGAACGTACAAACACAGAGTTGAAGCTCCTTTAGATCTCATTGGAATCTCAAAATAAACGTGAATTTCTTCTGAGAGCAGCTACAAGTGATCTATACGTTTTAACTTTAATGGGATGCAATGAAAGATAAATCAATGCAATCAAATTAGTCTGAGGGTTCTCATAACACGGTGAATTATTCTTACCTGATGTTTTATTGTGTGAACGTTTCTAAAGCTTTCAATTGAGATCCATTTTTCTTCCAGACATTATTCGGCACGCAACTCATCCCGCAATTTTTGTGCTATTTCAATCATTCATGTTTAAAAACATTCAGCTCATTCAGGACATTGCTATTTTGTTTGTCTTTTTGAAAGTGAATGCAGCTCTGTTCACATCCTTCAAAACCTTCGGGCTGTTTATAGCTCCTTGGTGCTAATTTTAGCTGTTTTCTGTTATTTTCTGCCTTTTTTTTTTTATTTTATTTTTTTTGCTAATTTCTGCTTTTTTTTCAGCTCCATTTTTTTCTGGAATTGTTGCTAATTTCAGCCTTTTGTGCTTAAAAAAAAAAATGTAGCTTTTATGCTCCTTTCAGCCTCTTTCAGATAATTTCAACGTTTTTTTTCTTTACCTTTTTAGATAATTTTTTTGGTTGTTGCTAATCTTAACATTTTCTGCTCATTTCAGTTCTTTTTTTTGTGCTAGTTTCAGATATATATATTTTTATCTAATTAGCCTCATTCTGCCTACTTTAGCATATTCTTTTCATTTCTGCTCTCTTCAGCTTTTTCTACACATTTCTGCCCCCCCCCCCTTTTTTTTTTACTGCTTTATACTTTTATTTTTTCTTGCTTTCCGCAAACGTGAACTGTTCAAATTCAATTTGCATTAACAGTTTAATGATGAATCCTTTTCATCCTGGGTTCATCTTCTTCAACAGCATTCAGCAAAACTCCTGCAACGATAAGCGTTCAGACTGCATTTTCTCATAAAATGTAATTTAAAGCTTGTAAACAATGAGTGCCTCACAGGAGTCCAGTAAGAGACTCATTAAGTAAAATATGAGAGCCAACAGTACAGGCTCCGGAAAAAGAAACATGAAATTGAAAAAGAGGCATATTTCTCTGTTTAAGTGATCTAAAAGTAATTATATCATGTTGTGGATTCCACCCTTCAGTTTGACTCACAGAATAGCAGAGACCTACTATTGCTGGTTGAATTATTCAAACTTCAAAAATAGACAAGAAAAAAATCACAAGTCAAACATTATTAACAATAATTGCACTATTTCTTTTTATAAATTTCTTGTAATTTTTAAGTATGTCACAAAAAAAAAACTACTGGTATAGCAAGAAAAGCATTTTGAAATTTATTTTGATTTCTGGAGATTCTTTTACGAGCCATCTTTTCCGAGTTTCGTGAACCAGTAGAGGGGAAGTGAAAAGTTTTAAAAGCTGCATAGAAATGATACAAACACAATGACTCACTGGGGTGTAAGATAAAAACACTGCTGGAGTTTCTGAGGACAAAGTGTGAAATTAAATCAATATTTTAAATAAAAAATATTAATTATTATTAGAATTTCTAAACTCTGAAGTAGCTCGACACCTACCAAACTCACTTGGGTTGTTGCAAAATATAAAGTAAAAACTGAATAAATGTAACTAATGGTTTGGATGACTTACGTTACATGTGGTCCTCTGGCCAACCGGATCAGATACATGAACGCACCTCCCATTCCCAGGCAGATGAAGAACATCTGAGGGATGATCTGGAGAAAGATGCAAACAAAAAGGCTTCAACAATATTTAGACATTTTTCTGATGGAACAAATGCATATTACCTCCTAACTCAATCAACACTTGTAAAAGCTAAACTCTAAAATAGTTATAAAACAATAATAAAACAGCCCGGGGGCCATTTGCGGCCCTTGGAGTGATTTTGTGCGGCCCACAACTGCAGTTTAAGAATGGTATTATTTTGACCAGCAGGCTTCAGAGGTTGATGCAAATTCATTGTTAATCCTATTTTATATAAAGTTTAGGTTTAACAGCAAAATGGATGAAAAACAATATTTTCAAAATGAGCAATATTAAACAAAATACAAGTCTTTGGCTATAATCTTTTTATTTTCACTTCATGGTACAAAACACCAAAAACTTTTACTGATTTCTACCAGAAAGGAGATTTTTGGATAATTATTCATAAAACTTGGCTAAATGCTGCAGTTGATAAAATAATCAAGATGGAAATTGGACATTTTTAAATGAATATAACATCTACATACGAGTTGATCAACTTGATCAAACCGTCTATGAATCTGTTGTAGCGACTGACAGCTGGATGATTTTCCAGAACTTCGATCAACGTTTTGTTTCGTCCATGGTCCAAAAGTCCTTTTAAAAAGACACTTCCTCAAATTACACTTTTGTTGTTGAGAACAGACTAAAATGAACTTTCCAAACACAAGAAAACAACAAACATAGACCCAACAAATCAAATTATTTTTAATAAAACATATAAGCTTAGTGTTTATGAGGCTTTTAATGTTTTGGATTTACAACAATTTAACACTCTTTCTCCACCAAAATTTATAAACTTTTGTCCTTTCTCCAAAATATTCTTCACGTTGAGAGTTAGTCACATTTTCGTGGCCCACGAGTCTTTTCGTCTTGATAATTTCTCCCACATATGAAAACGTTTGGACACCTGCTTTAGACCATCTTTTCTTATATATAGGTTTTATTTCTCTACAGCGGTGCAAAATTTCAAGAATATTCTGTTTCAACTGATCCAAACAGTGTTTTGCTGCATTCTAGTTCAGTCAAATTCAGATTGAAATTAATCTCACTGAGCAAACGTTCATCTCTGTTGGATTACTGTGCTGTTCTGTGACTCAGCAAAATGAATCAACAGGGGAGCTTTTATTTGGTTCAGTCCTAAAATGTGTGAAACTAAAGACACAAACGTAAAACATTAAAAGACAAACTATTAAAATAACAAAACAATATAGTGTAAATAGTGTGTATATATTGCATTAGAATATATGCTATATGCAAGAGTGCTATAACTTAGATGTAGGTGTCACATCAACCATTTATTTTGCACATATTAAAAAGTTAATGCTTTTCAATAAATCTCCAACGAGACTTGCAGAAAACTGAAACCTTATGTGCTCATGTCTCTGTACAGTTTACAGCTTGTGTAACATCAGCTGACCAGGAGCAGCTCTGAGGATTAATTAGAGGCTGGTCTGGCTCCAGCAGGTCCTGTCGTCCTAATGAACCAGCTGACACGGAGGCTGCATGAAAGATTTCTGCTTTTTAACTCCATTGCATTACATAGAACAATATCATATTGTTTTAATTACAGCAATCTGAATTTTTTACCTGTTTCTAATTTCAATTTTACTTTACGTTAAATGAAAACATATGGGGAAAAAATGGCTTGCAGGACAAAAAGTATTTTTTATGTCATAATCCATTCTGCATCCCTGTGGAGCTTTCTAAAGGCTTACCATATTTTTCAGACTAAAAGGCGCACCGAATTATTCAATTCAATTCAATTCAAAAATACTTTATTAATCCCAAAGGGAAATAATTTTGTTGTTGTAACTCGTTATTCTCATTTCATTAAGCGGTGTTATAGATAACTGATGGCTGTAGACAGGAAGGATCTCTTGTAAAGGTCCATACCACAGTGGATCCTAAGAAACTGGCTGCAGATGTTGTCCGATCCGTCCACCCAGACTCGGCTGGCCTCTCAGTTCGAGAAGGGGTTATTTGGTCGGTTCTCCCGGGCTGTAGGATCGCCCGAATGCCGGGCAGAACTCCTCCCAGAGCGATGGCCACTCCTCCCAGCAGTCCGCCGAGCTCCTCGTTGCTGCGGACAGCCAATGTAGGTGCCGAGGGACGATCCTGTCCTTCCACTGTCATGACCCATGTTTCCTGCTAGTTCCAGGATCTCAGTGGTCAGGCACCCGAGCACAACTGGCAGGTAGATGAGAATGCGTCCACAGAACATCCTTTCAAATCATTTGAGATTTGGGGCTGTAGTTGAGATATTAATTGAGCTTTTGAGATGTTAGTCAGCTGATGTTGGTTGTATACAACTGCCTTGTTGCCATGGTTACGCATCACAACAACTGTCCAAAACTAAAAAAGTTTCAGTAAAACTCCTTCCAGCTGCACAGCATCTGATACCAGAGGAAACAATCATACAAAAAAATGTGCTTTATAAGGCGCATTAAGCGAAACTAAAACATTTTGACTGATTTTTGAGCACTGTGTACCACAAAATTGGTCCGAGGTCAGTAAGCGCAACCAGAATTAAAGGTGCACCAGATTATAAAGCTCACTGTTTGTTAATGAGAAAATTTAAGGATTTTAAATGTGCCTTATAGTCCGAAAAATACGGTAAATGTTGCTTGTTTGTTTATTTTGTTCTGTGCCAAGCCTCAAAATGTCTCATGAACCACTGGATAAATTATAATGAAACTCACAGATAGCAATCTGTAGAGGTGCATCTACAACTCATTAAAAGTTAATGAGTCAAAATTTAAAATGGCATCTAATCTACCATAGCAAACACAAAGCTGTAACTCGGTCAGCTTTACAAATATTGAACCAAAATTTGGCTGGTAGTAGCTGATGCTCATCCTCCTCCACACATATTGTGTAACATCTATGCGTAAAACTTTGTCTTTAAATGTTGTTACTGTTAGCAAAAAAATCTCAAGGATAGATTATAATGAAGTTCTCCGATCATAAGGATTGAAAATGTAATGACAACTAACTTTTGGGGTCAATTCAAGATGCCTGCAACAGCTAATCAACCTCAACAGACACAAAAATGATCATAACGTTACCAATTTTATACAAACCAAGTTAAAAGATGTTGGCATCAAATACAGAGCTTTTTATTTAACATTTGGGTATGCAATGTAATGGGTGATATGTTCTAACAGAAATGCTTAATTTCATTTATTTATTTAGGTTTGGTGTTTCCTTGTGCATTTCTAGTTAAAGGTTTAATATCTTGCATGGATAAGACTACATACAATCTGCTGATCTGATGTTCTGACCGTTAGTTGTTTTAATTTTTTGTTTTGGCTGAACGCTGTAAGGATACTGAACATATTTTCTTACATTTTCTCTTTTTATGTATTATTATTTTCATGTTTCAGATCATTTCGTCATTGTCATGATGGAATATTCAAAGTGTTTTGTGTTTAAATGTTTAAGAAATGATTCATAATGGGCTTAAACATTCATGCAGTATTTGTTGAAAAGCACTTCCACTTACAGTTTTACAAACCAGTCCTCCAATCCTTATGTTGGGAGTTAATATGCTGTCAAATATACTATACCTAAATAAACTATTGTACTTTAAATTGTGCAGATTTTTTTAAAATATAAATTAGCATAAGTTATATTTTTAACAATGCACCTTCTTTTCTAAGCCTTGCTTGGTGGCCTACTCTTTCCCATTTTCATGAACTCATGATGACAATTAGCATCTTTAACTCATGATCATAAATTATAAACTATTTTTTAGTAAAATATATGAGCCTGTTTATTGTTATTATTATTGTTTACTTGATGGTTGGAAGAGTTTTGAGCAAAGAATCATTTTGTATTGTTGGTGCCCAAAAACTGTCCATCTGCCTGTTGTTTTTATCTTTGCATCCATCTGTCTGACTTCCTGTCTGTGGCTCCGCTCAACCTATTGACTCAAGTGGTCTCATCCGTCTCTCCACCTGTCTGTCCTTCATGAAGGAGGCTTGCGGAGTCTCACGAGCTTTCACTCCCTGCCATTTCTCTCTCCTGCCTGACTCTCAGCTTATCTAGTTTTCAGGATGATAGAGCAAACGGAGGTAGTTTTCATCCCTGCAGCTTATGCTGTGTCACTCGTCTCTGTGACCAGGGAGGTGCTTTAAAAAAGAAATCAGAAATAATCCTCTCTCCTGGGAGGAAAAGCTCATTTTAACGTAAATTTTATTCCAACATCTAATTTCCTTACAGTTTAGATTTCGTTCGTTTATTTTTCATTGGTTATTGGAACTTGTTGATGCCTTTTTGAAGACTTATTCCTGCCTCAACCACAGGAGCAACTTAACTTGACTGAATTAGAGCTCAGAAAAGATTAGGAGAGACGGTATTAGACTTCTCATCATGTCTCCTGCCTTAACTGATTAATTAACCAGCAGCACACCAGCACGCAACGACCCATTTGTTCATCTAAACGAGCAAGCTGCTTTGTTATAAGTCAGCTGAGTTTTGAAGTAAATCAATAATTTGTGAAAAAGTGTAGTACAAAAATAATCTAAGGAAACAAAATTAACCTGATTCACTTCAATCTTATATAATATCTAACAAGGTTGAGTCAGGTCCTCTGGACTCCACCTTGTTAGATTTACCTGGATTACTGAGCACGCATCAGGACCCTAAAATTAATACTCTAACGTGAAAACAGCTGGATAAGAATACATGAGACAAAAATAAAAACAAATAAAACATGATCCTTATTAGAGAAATCTAAAATGTCCACTTGTTTCTGCTCTGTTCACTACAGTAAATTTTGAATCAGTTTTCCGAGATGATGAGTTCCTTCTAAAACGTTTCAAAACCATTAAAGAGAAACAGGAAAGAAAGACGGTTTACTCACTCCAGGGTACCTCTTGATGTGTTGGACTACTCCTCGAAACATCTGTGCTCCACTTTAAAAAAAACTTCACGTGCAGAGATATAAGAGTTGAGTTTCACAGTGGCTTCTGCAACCACTGGCTTTGTTCAGCAGAGTACAGGCAGGATTTAGACCTGTTGCTCTCTGCATATGGAGCAAGGCGAAAGGGAGGAGGAGGAGGAAGAGGAGGAGGAGTTCATGATTACAGAGGACCGTTGAACAGTTCAAATGTGGATGTTTCTTTTTTAAAGACTCTCATTTAATACCTCAAATAGCTAAAAGTTTGTATCATTTGAAAGGAGTTGAGAGGGTTTCTGCAGAGGGTTCAGTGTTTTTTTCTTCATAATGCTGGTCATATTTTGGGAATCCAGTAGAGGAAGGAGGGAAGCACATAAACAGAATGTCATTCTGAAGCTCTGTGGGAAATTTATATTATTTACTCTAAGGAAAAGACAGAAATGAGCCCTACTTGTGTAGCAGAAAACAAATACATGTTAAATTATTCTTAATGTTGTGTTCAATGACCCTTCTCATCAATGCTGGACTCTCCTGCTTGATTCATGTTTGTAGCTGTAGTCTGGGAGACTAAATCACCATCTCTTTACATTTCAGACATCTCCGAAGACCAGTCTGCGGTGCCAGAGACCCACTCAAACTCTGAGTGTTCGGTAGCGTAGCAACTCGGCTTGGAGACCATTTTGATGAAACAAAAAGTGCTGCATGGGTCTGATGTAACGTTTGAAATTGAAATTCTCCAAGCAGGTGCTTTGGATGTGGCTCAGGGTAGAAAAGGCTGTAAACACAACACATTCATCTGAAAGGTTCACCTGCTGAGCAAAGAAAAATACACAAAACAAAATATAGTTGCTTCACATACTGATGAGAAATGTTTCTCAGCCACTAAACAGAAATATACAACGAAGACAAAAGCCTGAGGCGAGACGACCTGATTGTCCTCATCAAAAGGAAACATCCCAGTCTGCTCAGTGGACCAGATCTTTGATTCAGTGAGTTTAATTGGATGTGAAGACAAATACAATTTAATTTGGCCACAAAAGGCTTTCAACTTCAGACATGTTTCATCCAAACCCATTACGTCCAGGCTCAACAGATGACTGTTCTAGACAGCAAAGCAGAAATATTCATCCTGGGACAGTTACTGTGGGAAATCTGCACATTTTTATTTTAACATTATTGTTTGAATGTTTATGAAGCTTTCACACTATTGTGATCCATTTTCCTTCCGTATGTTTTTCAGCGTGATTCTCGTCCCGCAGTTTTCAAGCCATTTCAACAAATCATATATCAAAACGTTCAGCTCTTTCGGGAGAAGGGCTATGACTTTTGGTATTGGTGCAACTTTAACCTTTTTAAATATTTAGCCTTTTCTGCCATTTTTTTTTTTCCTCATAGAAAATTGAGCTCATTTTACATCCTTCAAATCTTTAGATCTGTTTACAACCTTTTACTGCTCCTTTCACATTTTGTTCTGGTTCAGCTTCTTTCAGCTTCCTTGTGCAAATTTAAACTTTTTTCAGCTACTTTCAGCTAATTGCGGCTGCTTTGTGCTCCTTTCCAGTTCTTTCAGATAACTACAACATTTCTGTGCATCTTCTAACTCCTTTCTGCTAATTTCGGCTTGTTATGATCCTTTGAGCTTATTTCTGGAAGTTTTAGCTTTTTCTGCTATTTCAGCTACTATTCTAATTTTAGCCTTTTCAGATAATTTCAGAATTTAGCAATAATTTCCACTTTTTTCAGTCTAATTCAGTAAAAATGTGCTCTCTCCACTTCCTTGTGGTAACTTAAGCTTTTTTGGTGCTGTTTTAGCTACTTGAGCTGTTTTTTTCCACATTTCAGCTGTTTTCAAATAATTTCCACTTTTTTTGTGCTAATTTCAGCATCTGTCAGTTTAATTGAGAGAGCGTGTTATTTCTGCTTCCTTCTGCTAATTTAAGCTGATTCTAACTTTTCAGCTACCCTTTTGGCATTTTTAGCTAATTTCAGCTGTTTTCAAATAAATTCAAGCTTTTCATGTTAATTTCAGCTCCTTTCAGACTAATTAATTTATCTTTGCTTGATTCAGCCTGTTATGCTCCTTCAGCCATTTTCTGCTAGTTTCAGCTTTTTTTGCTCTTTCAGCTACTATTTAGCTCATTTGATGCAAATTTTAGCTTTTTCAGCTAATTCCAAATTTTCTGAGCTCATTTCAGCTCTTTCCACTTCCCTTTTTGTTGTTGTTGTTATCTACCTGGATGATTGAGCTTACAACCCTTTTTCTGGTTAAGCTTCTTTCTGCCTTTTCAGCTTTTTGTTTGTTCAATTTTCAACTTTTTAAGCTAATTTCCAAATTGTTTTTGCAAATTTCTGCTTATTTAAACCTAATTCAGCAAATATGTTTTTTCTGCTTTCTGCTAATTTAGGCTTGCTCTTCCATTTCAGGTACATTTCAGCATGTTTTTAGCTAATTTCAGCTAGTTCTTCTGCAATAAGCATTCACATTGCATTTTCACAGGAAATGCAATTTCTCTATTTATTTTTCCAATAAAAAATGTCACACTGTATGTGCCGATATTTAAACCAAAAACAACATGTTGCAGAACTAGAGCCTAAAGGATTTTCTAAATAGTGATGATTTAATACAATAAATATTATCATTATAGTCAAGATGTCTTCCTCCCATAGAACCACTTCGTTTATTGATACAGGTAATTTAGCACCCAATATTTTTATCTTTAATTTATTGATTTATAAAATGTATATAAAAATATCTTTATCCTTGAAAAAGTGAAAATATGTATGCCTACACACCCTGAATATACATTAGTTCAACATCTACCTTATGCAAACTCCACAGACTTCTCTTTAGGGATGGCTCAGAGTTTGTAGCTGAGTTCAAGTCACTTTTTAAGGATTCAGATAGTGACTGTTTTTCAATGTGGCTAAAAAAAAAGTAGTACCTAGAAACTTCTCGAAGTACTTCCAGTGCAGTATATTTTCTGCTGTTAAACTACATACTGTTCTGAGAGGAAAGCTGCTGTTCCTTCACAACACTGCCTGAAAGCATACTGCAATTATTTATGGAACAACAAAGACCTGGATCATGGAGCTGGGAAAATTTAATGGCTCTTTGTTTTTGTCACCACTGTTCCCGTCTGAGTAGATTCTTTCTTTTGCAAGAATACACTCAGGATTCTGAGTGTTACAGAAACAGCAAGACAGATTTGCATTAACTTCCATTATTAGAAATACCAAAAGTGATAATAACTGTCAACCTTAAGGCTGTGCAGAAATTACAAAACAAAGCAATTGTCAATTTAGATTGCTATATTGTCAAGATTTGTTGCTTTTTTTATGTATAACTCACCTTTCAGATGCAAATATGAGTATTTTTATCCACTCGATGTTTGTGGTGCTTTTAAATAATCTCATCCAGGATCAAAGTTAGCAGGTCAGGTATCTCCTTACAATGGCAAAAAAATAAAAATAAAGTGGGTCACTGCTCTTATGGTTTATTTAGTGTGAGTGACAGGTTGGCACATAGAAAATAAAAACTACGGCTGTCTGGATATTTTAAGAAAAATCTTGCAGTTTAGCTCCATGTCACAGCTCGACCTGCAGGTCTTTATTTTTCCACCGCAGGCCTGTGTGACATTAGCTCATCCCTGACCGCAGCTCGCTAATAAATCCTCCCAACTGGACGCTGGCCAACTCTAACACAACCTGGGTTCAGTATACAGCAGGGTGGGTCAAATACACAAGATCTGCATGGTGCAGTACCTTTAAAACCAATTGGTGATCTTTTTAATTGATCAGAAACTCCAAATGACACAGAGCTGAGTTATGCACACCGAGGTGACTCGACGTGCAGAATAAAAACTAACATTTGATGCAGGTGGGGGAAATAATGTCAGCACCTTAATGATCATTCCTTATATTTTATGGCTTATTAGTTGATCATTATGGGTCAAACTAGGAGAACTTTAAATTTTAGTATATTGATTGGGTCATTTTGAAAATTTTGAATCAGGCATCGTTATGGTGTTACACTGAAGAAAAACAGGGAAGTTAAACAAGAAAACACATTTTGTAAAACATTAAAATGCTGTGAAATCTTATAAACAAATTCTACATTTTTATGCTTTTGCTCATAAACAATTGCTTCGTTGTTAATCCACGTTGTAATTTTAGGCCAATCATCTTAAACTCCCTGGCACATGGTCGCTCTGATTGGCCTCAAGCTTCTCTGACTTTGTGTGGACGTGAGAGAGGGACTGTCGTTCTGCAACACGAGGACAATCAGAACGAGCTGCTGGGTTAAACCTTGAGCCTTGGCAGTTTTCCACATAATACTATTACACAGCAAAGATCTGCTGGGTCAGCACCAAGAACCAGTGCAGTCTGCACACCTGCAGTACAGCTTCCTGCATGGATTTACTCATCTTAAAGCTAAATAAAGACGTTGTTATGGACGCTTTAGGAGCACATCTAGAATTAAAGGTTGAGCTGTCATGTAACCTGAAACTGCCGGCTGGTTAACTCATTTCTTTACAGACCAACAGTTTAATTCGATTCTTAGGAAAGAGAGCTTTAATGGGAATTTAAAAGAACCAACATTGCCTTTGAAAACACATACTAGGAAAAACAAATAAAAATGTTAAGATATAAATGCAGCTCTTTGCCATCAAGTGGTTAAAAAAGTACAAGACGTTTATTTTTATCACAGGACTTTTCCTTAAAACTGTTGTCCAGATTTTAATTATCTAAACATACTAGTATAAATTAATAATATGAACATGAGATTAGAGTTTCAGCAGAAGTGTTTAAATAATTATCTCATTACTGACCAAATCTAATTGAAAATAAATAAATAAATCATTAAACGGTGATACTTTCAAGTCTCATTTCCAATGAAAGGAGTCACTGCCTTTTTGTTTTGCACACAATTTCAAATTATCAGTAACATTTAAAAAAAATGTGAATGTTTATTGTTGTTGTTGTTGTTATCCACTGTTGTCATCATTCTTTGTTAAAATCCATGTCTCTCTTGTAAATGAGCCCTCGTGGCTCAATGGGATTAACCTGTTTAAATAAAGGTTGAATGAATTTCTGGTTGATGGTTTTAATCTGAGTAAAAATATAATAAAGACCAAACAATTTTAACTTTAATCAGATAAACAAAATAAAATTATGATAGGGTTTCAATGTGTTCCCTCTGTTTGGTAACTCTGGAGTCTTTGTGAGATGTTATATAAAGTATAATAACTTCTTATTGATTCATTTTAAAACAAACTGTGCTGAGAGAACAAATGAAAAAGATGGAAAGAATAGACTTTAAACAAATTCATAAAAAACTGCATCAGTTTGCTCTTAAAAAAACACCCAAAATATTCACACATGAAGAAATTGTTCCAACTTTCTGAATATAAACACTGTTCAATATGAACAGTTTTACATGTATTTTTCCATAAATAAATAAAAGTAAAGCATTTTTACAGCTAGTAAAAAAATAAAAAAAAATCTAACCTCGGGATTATTAATGATTTTGAAAAAACCTAAACCAAACAGGTTAAATTAATTTCCTCTTTAGAGGGACAATCCACATCTTAATACCATGAAAAGCTGCTCCTGAGACCTTTCTGATCTTAAAATGTTCTTTGATTGCACAAAGTCCAACTGTACGCTCCTCAGCATGAAAGAACAAGGTTTTCAGTCAGGTAAACTTTTGACAGCAGCAAGTTTGCGTCTGTTGTCTGTAAAACCCTAAAATCAAATTGTGAAAACCAAACAGAACGAACTCTATGAAGCCTAAAGTGTTACCAGGATTTTAATAAACACCAGGCACATCAGGGGGATGGATCCAAGATCCTACGTCAGGAGGTAACCATGGTAACGTCTGTAGAAACAACAGAAGAGGGGGGAGCTGGGGCAGAGATGGCAGCAGCGGCGCCTGTTGGCGTCTGTAAAGTTACCGAGGGCTCAATGGGGCGAGCAGGAACTGGTTTGGTGATCTTCAAGGGAACGAAGGCATTAGAGGCACAGTGTTCGCGCAGATACTCGCCTCCTTTCTCCTCATAGTCCTGTTTGCTAATCCATCCTTCTGCTCCTCCTGCAGCTGGATGCTCCATAGCCCAGTCTCGTGCTCCATACCAGGCGTCCAGGGCTGGCCGTGTCGCCATGGTTACCTGTGAAGGAGTGTGCATCTATACAGAGCTCAGATAACCTAAACCAGTTGACATCTCTGAACTATACTTGAGGATTTTAGCCATCTTTGCCCCCCGCCAATGTTTATTTTTACTTGCTGCTATTTATCTATAATAAATAAATGTTTCACACATTATTGCCTCATCAGCTGTCACGACTAAATAACAGTTCATCTTACCTCTCTGTTCCCTTTTGAGCCTCAGACAAATGTTGGAGTTGCGTTAACTTTATCCTGTTCACCAAATTAACAATATTTTTGAGGCAACCCTTTTCTCTTATGAAAATAAAACTTCCAATTTCCTTATGTACGACAAAACAATTTGATTTTTTTTTTTTTAATATATAAAACACAGGAATGAAAATATAAAGGCTCTTTGTGAAGGGCTTTTGGCAGCACCTTACCTTGAAATGAGACTGGAAGGGCCTCATGGCCAGCAGCTCCCTCTCCACTCGCTCCTTCATCCCGGGGTACTGCATGTTCCCTCCTGTTAGAAACACGTTGCTCGCCAGCGCCTCCTGCTGCTCAGAAGTGTACCTGGATGACACAAATTTACAACATTGCAAATCTTTTTACTAAAAAAAAATGTGCAAATTATCTAAATTATCCTTGATGAATAAACACAGAACTTGAAGATGATTGTATTGAATGATTTTAATTTAAGTGTGGATCTCGTCCACTGTACCGTTACCTGGCCAGGACATACTGCAGCGCCTCCATCAGTCCCATCTGGTCCTCTCCAATCAGCGAAGGCTGGAACAGGATTTCTGGACACCGCAGACGCTCCGTCCCCACAAACAGCTGGTGGTACTCTGCCATGTTGAAAGCAGGCTATAGAAAACAGAAAACTTGGTATTTAAGGACGAATGCAAGATTCTGGAGCAAAATTACCTGCAGGAGCATAAAAATGGAGAAAGTTTCACATTCTGGTGGACTCGGTGTGTGTGTCTAAGAGTTTACAGTGTCAGCGTGCCACTACCTGGACAACATTAGCAGATTTTTCTGACAGTGTGTCTTCGGGGAAGTCTGACTCCATCAGTGCCACTCCATCTCCCTCATCCAATGGCTGCTCCAGCTCTGACACCTGGCAGAGAGCGACAGAACAGCCTCAGGCTTCACATCAGCTGCTGCAAAACCACTGCAGCAAATAATCTCTTTTTTTTTTAATTTGACCTTTATTTAAACTGGACAACTTTGGTAACTCTTTGGATTTAAAATGTATTTCACAAGAGTGTCCCGGACTGTTTTTCTTTTTACATTTTATTGTTGGATGTAACTGGGACCCTGTCTATACAATTTTGTTCCACCACATGTGAATGACAAATAAAGAAACTCTGACTCTGGCAAGACTAGCAAAAGTTTAAAACAGCATTAAATTTCAAGACAAGTTTGTTAACTAATTCCACAGATTTGATATTATTGTTCTGCAAATCAAACAATAAAAACAAAAATAAAATTGTAATGGATGTGAGCTTTGCTGACAGCTGTCAGTCTGCCATCATCATGATTTGTTCGTAACCATCCATCCATCCATTATCTTTACCCGTTTATTCCATTTTGGGTCACGGGGGTCGCTGGTGCCCATGTCCAGCAATCACTGTGCGAGGGGCGGGGTACACCCTGGACGGGTCACAAGTCCATCACAGGGCCACATAGAGACAAACGAGACAAACAACCATTCACTCTCTCACTCACACCTAGGGACAATTTAGAGTTACCAATCAGCCTAACATGCATGTTTTTGGTCTGTAGGAGGAAACCGGAGCACCCGGAGAAAACCCATGCATGCACGGAGAGAACATGCAAACTCCACCCAGAAAGGCCCCTGGACCGGGGTTTGAACCAAGGACCTGCTCGCTGAGAGGCAGCAGCTCTACCAGTTGCGCCACCGTGCTGCCTGTTCTTAACTAGGCATTTACCAATCCATCAAAGAAATACCAAATATCATTAAGCGTGGGATTGACCATAGTCGCATTTACATGGACACAAGTCATCGGATTAAATGGTCATTCGGAATACAAATGCATCATGTAAACACCCTAATCGGATTGATCCGAATGAATTTGTAATCCGAGAAGGGTGGTTTATACCGAGTCATAATCTGAACGGTGTGCATGTAAACACTTAATCTGATAATTTTATTCCAATTGTGGAAAACTGACCTGACTGCACATGTGTGACCTGTCACCCTCACGCATTTCAGCCTGTCAAGATGCTAATATGTCGCGGAAGTAAAACTGCTCGGTGAGCGACACAACATTTCTACTAGAAACTTTGAAAGAGCTCAAAATGATTTGTATTACCTGCAGCTCAATCAGGGAGTGCATTCATGTCTCCACCATCATTAAAACCTGTTGCAGGTCCATTTTGGGCACTTATGTTAGTTTATGTTCATCATAGAAGTGGAACTTCTTCTTCTGTGTTTTATTAAGGAAAGTTTACCACTTCTATTCTGAATAAAAGCCGGATGCATGTAAACATTCGTCATGATCGAATTGTGCCCATGTAAATGATACATTAGGATTATTTAATCTGAATACATTTCAATCAAATCTAAGAATTTTACACATGTAAACATAGCTTATATTAGCAAATACTGGTACTTATGATGTTTAACTGTTGTGTAAACTGGAAAACTTGCTACATTTGAAGTACTGACATATGCTAGTGGAAACAGGTTAAGGCTAAAACTTGACTTTAAAATAGATAAATAAATTTAAAAAATGTATGCATCCCAATTCTGATCAGTTTTGTAGAGCTACACCTACCTCTGTCTTCCCCTCTGCTCCGTCGTTTTGCAGCAGTTTTTGTCGACTCTGTTCAACGGCAACCTGCAGCTTGTTGATGTACGACTGCAGCTCCTCGGCTGAATCCATGTTGAGCTCCACTAAACTTTTATGAAACTGATCCAGGAGCCCATCTTCCAACAGCTCCTGCATCACAAGACTCTATGATCATTACGTTTTAGAGTCCTGCATCAATTATGCCACAAGAAAACTCAGAACCGGCCAAACATTTGGTTCCTTCAGTTTTAACGTTAACATTTTGTTTTGCTTGGCTGTTTTCAAATCACCTATTTAAAGGTGTAGAGATTTTTATTTCAATGTTTCCTGGGTGTTTTCATATTCTCCTTTGATTGCTACAGCTGCTGCACTGTATTGCAGCTCAAGAAAATGTCTGTACAGGAACAAAAAAAAACAACAACTTGGATTTGATTTGTTTAAGGATTAAGAGATTAAACAGAAAAATAGATTTATCCAAGTTTAGCATTATAGCTAAAATAGAAATATCATATTGATATTTTATTGATTTGTATCAATTGTCAGACTGTAAAAAAAAAAAAAAAAAAAAAAACACTGAAAACACACAAAAAAGAAAAAAAAAAATTAAATTATAAAGCAGGTTCTTTACCTGTACAGCCATTAGTCTATCCAGCTTCTCTTGGTCCTGTTGCAGTTTCTCTTCCCGCCGACGAGTGTTGATCTCCTGAAGTCGACGAAGCTGCTGAGCCCGCCGTTCTTGTCGTTCCTCCACACTCACACAACCGCCTGGTAGCTTCCCCGAGAAAGGAAGCTGTATACGGTGAACTTCTTGCTCATAAAACCCTGGGCAACGCCACTTTTCAAGCTCTGCAAATGAACAAAGTAAACACATTCACATCAGAGTTGTATGTGTCTTGTAACTGGCAGAAACATTTTTGACTTGTATCAAACTGAATTTGATTTGTTTCCTTCTCGATGTTTTTATACTAAAATATGAACTGCACCTTTGTGATAATCCACAGCAGTATAACTGTGTTCGTGAAGCAGCTCCTCCATACGGCTCAGTGTGATGGCAGCAAGGTGGCCTGGGTATTTCAGCTGCAAGAGGCGCTGCAAGTAGGATGCTGCCTGGCTTCCTGCCACATTTACACGTTTACAATTCAAAGCATCCAACCTGAAATGAAAACAAAAATTATAAGGTAAAAGCAATACAAAAAAAACACACACACAAGTAAGAATGAAACTATTTAATATAATGTAAAATGAGCCTTTTTAGGGCAACAATAACAGAAAAGAAACACACAGGAAGTTGTTGGTTTCTTCTGAGGCTCACCTGCCATTAATAACAGGCAGGATGTGTGAGCAGTGGTACCCAGAAGACAGAACGATGCCAGTGTGTGGTGGCTGAAGGCTTCTTTGAATGTTATTGTGATAGAAGCTGTACAAGCCATCCACGCCATAAGACACAAATGGGACACGGTAGCATTCAAACAGCAACTCTGACATCATCTGTCGACAGTGCAGCGGGTTGCAGGGCGCCTCTGTCATCAAGATGGGGTGTTCCACACAGCCCTGGATATGAAAAAGAAATGAACAAATATTACCTCCACTAATAAATAAATTAAAACCAAAACAACTGGACTTCTATTTTGTAGGTGAAGACGTTACACTAAGCAGTCGGGGAAAATTTTTATTTTGTAACTGTATTGTTGAGTTCCAAGCTTTAAACTGTATGAGATGCTCTGAGAAAACACAACAGATGAGAAGCAAAACATCCTCGGCTACAGAATAAAAGTCCAGTTGTTGTTGTTTTGTTATTATTTCTTCAAAATAGTTTGAACAATGTATCTTGCAACCACATGCTGCTTTAAAATTTTGGTCTGTGAGAAATCTTTCCTAATGCAGTTTAACTCTTGTTGTTGAAGTCTTAGTAGTGTTTGATACAACCATACCATGATCATTGTTACTCATCTAGTTTTTGCCTCCTACACTCAACTGTTTCTGTTAATTTCCTACATTATTCATCCATCCATCCATTATCTTCCGCTTATTCCGAAGTCGGGTCGCAGGGCAGCAACTTGAGCAGAGAGGCCCAGACATCTCTCTTCACAGCCACCTCTTCTGGGATGCCTCCAAGGTGTTCCCAGGACAACCAAAAGACATAGTCTCTCCAGCGTGTCCTGGGTCTTCCCCGGGGCCTCCTCCCAGTCGGACATGCCCAAAGCACCTCCCAAAGAAGGCACCAAGGAAGCATCCTTACCAGAAGCCAAAACCACCTCAACTGGCTCCTCTCAATGTGGAGGAGCAGTGATTCTACTCCGAGTCTCTCCTGGATAGTTGAACTTCTCACCCTGTCTCTAAGGGAGAGTCCAGCTACCCTGCAGAGGAAACTCATTTCAACCGCCTGTGTCTATGATCTCATTCTTTCAGTCACTACCCAAAGTTTGTGGCTATAAATGAGGGTAGGAACAGACTGACTAGTAAACAGAGCTTTGCCTTACAGCTCAGCTCCCTCTTCACCACAACGGACCAGCACAGAGTCCGCAATATTGCAGACACTGTACCAGTCTATCTGTCAATCTCATGCTCCATTCTTCCCTCGCTCATGAACAAAAACCCCCAAGACACTTGAACTCCTCCACTTGATGCAGAACCTCACCCTCGACCTGAAGAGAGCAATCCACCCTTTTCCTACATTAACAAAATGATTATTACAAGCATGTTTGGTGTATTTTGATAATCATACACCTGACTATACTTGACGTTGTACAAATACTACGCTATTAGGCAAATGGTGATCACACCAAATTATTTTTATTTGCCAAATAAAAGTAAATGGTACAATGGTAAATGGTAAAGTGTGTGGCCAGCTTCTGGTATTTCACTTTGCGTTTAGTGCATACTAACAAAACAATCAGAATTTATAGTTATGAAAACATTCTTGCTACTAGCTAAAATGTTTTACATTTAGTTCTGCACAAATGCATACCAAATGTGATCTCAGCTATACAGAGAATAACTCAGTTTCCAGTTCTGCAGTTTTCAGTGTAATTATTTATCACAAACCTCCGAATTGATGCCCAGGTGTGTGAACACATAGTCCAAGATGAGCTCCTGGATCTCGAAATTAACCACCACGTTTCGGTCGAACTGGCTCTTGAGCAGCCACCGCAGTGGCTCCAGGTTGGGGATATCGTTCCCGATCTGAGTCTCGCTGCGGGCGGCCCCTCTGCTCCGAGCCGCCACGGACCTGAAGAGCAGCTGCGGAGAGTGCACCTCCTCGGGCCCCGGAGCCGCCCAGCCGGCCCGGGTCTGAAAGGAGCCGTTATCTATCACTACCGGGGCCGGTGTGGGGGTCAGATAACGTACGGGGAGCTCAAAAATTGAGTCTGGAGTTGCTTTACAATCTTGAAATGAGAAAATCTGGCATAATGGCGCTTTTTCGGATGCCATTTTTTTAAGAATGTGTAACTGCAAAATAAGACCGGGTGGAAACTCAGAGTCGCTGATTTAAGTTTCCGAGGGAGTTAAAATATTTATAATCATATCATTATAACATTATATTTGAATAAATAAATAAATTAATTACTTAATTGTTAATAGATAAATAGAAAAATAAATAAATAAGTAATTTAATCTAATTAAAATTAACTTATCTATTCTGTAATAATACCAAACCTCACTCTTTAATATGTTGTGAATTAGACACCTTTGGAAGCCTTAAGATTAAAGCAACTGTGACGATTAAAAAATAATAATAAAATAATAATAATAATAATAATAATAATAGTTATAATTTTACCTGGACTTGCGAGCTTGCTGTACCCCACCAGGCTCTCGCACAGTGATGGCTGGACATGGGCACAACCTGAAAAAAAGGAAGAAGATGATGGATGGATGGATGGATGGATGGATGGATGGATGGATTACAAAACGTTTGTGTTAACTTTCACCACCAGGGGTCACACTACACTGTTATGAACATTGTCTCACTAAAACAGATTGTACAGAATGTATTTTATGGAGTTTCTGGGTGTGTCTGGGCTTCAGGAAAACACTTAATACTAATATAAACCAGGTGTGAATGTAAGCAAACCAAAAGACATATGGGGCAATAATTTAGTTTTTGTAATAAATATAATTTGTTTTAAAGGCCTTTTTATGGACTGGCATTGAAAGCCAACAATAGCAACAAATGCTGTGACTGAGTCATTATTAGTTCTTTAGCATATATTAAAGCATCAATCCGAATAACTACCAGTCAATGCACATTACAGTTTGTAAGGAAAATTAGAGCCAGTCTGTTGTTGAAACGCAATAATTGAAACCATAAACAGTGTTTCCCCTCTGGCCCTTTGGTTCTTTTTTCTCTCAGCTGAGCGGGCGAAGCCTCAGCTGGAAATATAGGACACCTGCACATGAGAGCCACTGTACATCCCAGTCCACTTCAGATCAGACGATGTGGTGGAGATCCCACACTATTTTAATATTCTTAAACTACATCATTTCAATGTGAACTGAACACATTTAGGCAAGATTTGGAAATAATGGGTCCCAAATCTAGATTATTATTGCCATTTTATGTATTCAGACAGTTATGACAAATTCAGTATAATCAAGTAAAAGACAGAAGTTTGCAAATGTAAGTATTTTTTCAAAACATAATTGTTGAATTATCCCTTCTTGTTTGTTTATGTCTGTTTTTTCTAGAAATATCAATTCAAAATATAGTCATCAAAAGGTGCCTAAAAGTCTAAAACATTCAATCTAAATTTATTTTCTTTAATTATTTTTATTATTATTTGAACTATTTCATTTTATTTTATTTTATTTTATTGCACTTTTCCATTAACTGCGTTAGATTTTCTTTTTCTGGGCAGGTTTAATTCCTGGACAGCAGGTTAGCAGATATTTAGACGAAGAGATGAAATGTAGGAAGGAGCGTGTGTGTGTGTGTGTGTGTGTGTGTGTGTGTGTGTGTGTGTGTGTGTGTGTGTGTGTGTGTGTGTGTTTGTGTCCTTGTTTATGCTACTTTGTGAGGCCCATTTTTCCAACTTATACTACATTGTGGGGACCAACTGCTCCTTATGGGGCCCAAAGCCCGGGCCCCATAAGAAGAAGTCCTGTTGGTGGGTTAGGGGCTAGGTTTAGGACTAAGGTGTGAATTGAGGATGTGTTAGGTTTAGGGTTAGGTATGTACTGGTAATGGTTAGGTTATGGATAAAGGTCATGGTTAGGCTATAGAAATGAATGAAAAATGAATGGAAGTCAATGCAAAGGCCCCACAAAGATAGCAAAACAAACCTGTGTGTGTGTGTGTGTGTGTGGGTGGGGGTGTTACTGTATGAAGCATGATGATGCGTCACTGAAGCATGAGCACAGTTCACTGCTCAGGCACAAAGCTCTAAGTGACTGCATCCCCCTCTTCCTGATGCTAATAAGCAGATCTGGGTCACCTCATCCTCTCAAACACACACACAAATTGATAAGACATACATGCACAGTAACCAACATATTATCCACCTACATACACATTCCTATTTGTCCAGAAATTACCACACACACGCACTGGCATCCGTTCCTCCTAGGAGGCAGGACGTGACATCGCTGCAGTGTCTTTGCTCAACACTCGCAGCTCTTTGCTTGTTGTGCTTGTCATCCAGGCAGCGGTGATGAAGCACAAGGGAACTAATAGGCTACAAGCTCTTTGGGACTGCCACGCGTGATGCCAAGCAGCCTCCATTTTGTGCAGAAGTGAACAGGCTGTTCTTTCTCTCTGACAAGGAAACCTAAAGGAAAAGAAACGTGTTCTGAATATCAAATTCAGTCAAAACGTGTCCTTATAAAAAAAACTTAATATCTTCTTGTGTATTAATTTGAGTCTTTCGTGCTGATTGTATTATGAGTTTAATTCCTCCAATGTGATGAGGAAGGAAAGGGCTTTGGCATCTTGGGCACTTTGTCATGTTTTTGTGCAAAAGGAATCTGATGACGCAAAAGCACTCGAGTCAACTCATTCAGAAACAGTGTTGCTCCTGCTGTCACAATAATCCAGACCTTTTATATCAGTTCTATATTAGAATAATACAACTCTCATTTTAGTCATTTGCAGCTTTGGCAAAGTAGTTATAAAAATGCTATTGGAATGTTATTATATAATTGCCACATTTAAGTGTGATTTTCAATTCAACCTTTATTTATACAGGTTAGTCTCAATGAGCCTTGAGTACTCATTTACAAGAGAGACAACAGTAGACAATCCTAAAAACTCTAATGCAAAATGTAAAATGTAATGTTGCCAAAATAAGGCCTGTTTCTATTTTGAAGGAATGTGGAAGCAACTACAAAGAAAAATCAAGAAGTGAGGTGCTTGTGTGTGTGTTTCTCTCTTTAGAGCAACTTCATCTTTCGTCTTGTACAGTTCTCCTTTAGCTCAGTTTTGATTGTTAATCCATGTTTCAACTAAATGCTTCCCTGGTCTAAAGAGGAACACAAAGTTTTCAGTAGGTGCATGTTCGTGTTAAGCATCTCGTGTTTAGCGGGTGGAAACGTTGTGGAGAGTTGGTCTGATGACAATGTCCGATTTATTTATATAGCAAATTAAAACAACCGAAGTCGACCAAAATGCTTTACAGTTTAGTTAAACTAAACCTTAACAAGTCAAAGCAATAAAATATTATAGGTATAAAAGATAAAATAACATGAGGCACAATAAAACCATTAAACAATAAAACAAACAACAGCTCTATTTTTATATTGGGCAGAGAATTAATAGAGTCAACAGTCTCGGCGACCTGTAAATTTACTGTAGATGTACTATTCTACACATTAAAAACAGCATATATTTATTGCTAAATTTGGATTTTAACTGTAAAGCTCAGAGTGCTTCTGTAGGTGTAGATGTTAAGGCAAGGCTATTTGAACTTTTATAAACAAGCAGTCAAATCAGGAAGCCAGGACAGAAATTGAGTCCACTTTGCTTCTTTCCAAATTAAATCAGTGCTTTGTTAAATCATGATTAGACTAAATGTAATTATGGTTACAGCTGAGATAAATCTATTTTATCAGCAACTCTAATGTCTTCTAAAAGTGACGGAGCTCAAAACGTGTTTCTGTGAAAATCAAAGGTCATAAGAAGGAGTCAGAGTTTGTGACTCGAAGCACTTCTGATACATCCGAGTCACTTTGTGGGCCAAAACCTTCTGCGATCTGCAGAACTGTCCTCTGCACCTCGTCTCAGTCTCTTTGTCCTTTTTCTCCACACTATAAAGATCACATATGCACACACTTACACACACACACTCGCAGCATGTGTCACTACGGTTCTCTTCAGACTCTGGCCCTGCAAGCCCAGCAGATCTTTTTGGCCTACAGAGAGATTAATGTGTTTGTTCACCTGTCTGCACACATAAATGTTGATGGAAAAAAGCATGAAATGACATTCATAAAAATCTCAATGCTATGTATGATGTCAGTGTTATTAATCAGATGTGTGTTCATGTGTTTAGTTTACTTTATCTAGATGATTTGCATGTACAATAAATAAATTCTGTATAAAAAATAAGTTAAAAGACTAAAATAGATCCAGGTTTTCAGCTTCTGGTCTGAGGAGCATTTAAATCAAGAGGTAATTCATGTTTGTGCGTCACAAACATGAATTACCTCTAATGTGGGAAAAAATAAATTATTTAGAGGTTCATGAGAAAACTTCTTTCATTTCTGCAGTACATATTTTCTTTTTACATATATGCAACAATAATTAACAAGTTAATCATCACATTGTTGGACCTTCAAATCCTGATAAAGTAATCAACAACCAAAAGTTTCCATATATTCAAGCCCAGTTAACGTTTCTGCTGTCTTTTAAAATTAAAAGACAATAAGAGGCTGTAAACAAGTGACTGGGCAGTTTATTGAGATTGCTGACCATTTTTTTCACTTCTTTAGCATCAAAACTTTGAGTTTTCACAGGTAGCTCTGTTTAGTTTTCTTGCTTGTTTATTTGTAGCCTAAATAAAAAAAATAAAACAGTTCAGGACTCGTGACCCTTTGTTCATGTTGCTTCAGTTCCTTTCAAATGTCACATTCAGATGTTGAGAGCAAAACTCTTGTAATTTCTATTTTCCTGCTGTGGTGAAAACTAGGCCTGTCATGATAACTCATTTTGCTGGGCGATTAATTGTCTCAGAAATTATTGTGATAAACGATAATATTGTTTGAAATTTGACAATAATTACTAATTATTGTCAAATTGAAGAAGAAATGTTTGTTAATTTGTTTTGAGTGTAGTACCTTTATTGACCACCGGATGGTAAGACTGTTTGACCCCAAGGATGGATAGTGAGGGAGCGAGCAATGTGTCTATTTAAGAAAAATGGGAGGGAGGCCCCTTGACTTGACATGGGCTGCCTCTCTTTGTTTCTCAAAATGGCGGACTCTCGGTGTGGTTTGAGCTCTTTAGCATTGCATTTTTCACACAAAGATTTTCATTAAAAAATCAGTAAACAAGTTCTCAGCCTCTTTTTGCAGAGAAAAGCAACTTGTTACACGAAAGCACGGGTTTCAACCGTGAATTTTGGAGCTTTAACAAAACGGAGATTTTTATCCGAGGTTGACCTGTTAGCTTAGCTCGTAGCTTAGCTTCTCAGCTTAGCTGCTTTTAACGATCCGAAAACGCAATTTTGGATGGTTAAAACAGATTTTAAAGAGAAAGGGAGGGGTCAGTGAAGAGCAGCAGAGTTGAGCTTTTTGTCATCGAGTGTCTTCAGTAGAAAGAGAGAGACGAAGAAACGATAAAGCCAATAAATGAAAATGAGATTGATCATTTTCAATTATCATGCGATTAATTGATTTATTGTTTATCGCAACAGGCCTTGTGAAAACATATTCTTGTGGAGAACGTTACGGTTGTCAGCTGTAGACAATGATGCAGAAATTGCATAAAATGAAGAAATCAGGTGATTTGTGCACATTTATATTATTTGTTCTGTTTGACCACAAAGTAGTGCAAAGACAATCGGGAGAAATAAGAGGACATGTGTTGTGAGGTGTCTGCTCCAGTTTATTAAACAAGAATTATTACTTTATAACCATCATCAACCGATGCAGTTCTGTAGCAAGAAAATATCATACTTCATCAAAAAGGCTAATTTCGGTGTAAAGTCCCACAGAATATTTTTAGACTTTTCTGTGTGCTGTATTCATGAACAAAATAAATGATTTAAATTTAAGTTATTTTAATTTGACCATCTAGACTGGACTATTGCTTGTTTGGGTGTCCAAATACTTCTTTAAAAAGTCTTCAGTTAATCCAAAATGCTGCTGCTATAGAGTCTTAACTGGAATTAGTGGGAGAGACCATATCAAAGTCAAAGTTTCTTTATTTGTCATTCGCACCACATGTGGTACATGTGGTGGAATGAAATTGTGTACACAGGGTCCCAGTTACATCCAACAAAAGTAGTAATTGTAAAGAAAAACAGTAATAAGATCAAAGATATGAAATAAGAAATACACTAATAATAAGCACAAAAAATGGTTGTGCAAAAACACTCCGAACAACAGCAGCACAAACATGAGTCTGTGTGAGCCTATAGTTTCTCTCCAGTTTTAGCTTCTCTCCACTGGCTCCCTGTCAAATTCAGAATTGAATTCAAAATCCTACTTCTAACCTACAAAGCTCTCAACATATTTTACATATCTTACATATTTTCCTAACAGAGCACTTCGCTCTCAGACTGCAGGCTTACTTGTGTTCCAAAAGCAGAATGGTAGATCTTTCAGTTATCAGGCTCCTCTTATGGAACCAACTTACAATTTCTGAAGTCTGACACATTGTTCAGTTTTAAGACTGGGCTTAAGTCTTTCCTTTTTGATAAATCTTATAATGGTTGGCTTAGGAAAAAAAATACCATATTTCATAAAATGAATTGTTACAAATGAATAGTTTGTATTTGAAATTATTTCTATCTTTACATGTGATTCTCGACCTGCCATTGTGTATCTGTTCCTCTCAAACCCAGCCGGTGGAAGCAGATGGCCACTTGTTCTGAGCTTGTTTCTGCTAAACGCAGTTTTTCCTTTCCACTGTCACCTTCATGCTTGTTCAAGATGAGAGTCTGTGATGGAGTTAAATTTAAAACAGTCTGCTCCTCAGAAGAATAATGTTAACTTACTTTATATATATATATGAATGTTCCTGTGCCCTGAGATGATTCCTGTGGTGACTTGGTGCTAAATAAAGAAACTGAACTGAATTGAATATATATGGAAGTCTGATGTGAAAATTCAAATTTGAATGTGTTCACAAAACGGTCTCTGTCCAATTACCGTGTCCATGGCAACTATCAGAGATTATTGCTCCCAGTCAGCATCTCACGGCTGTTAGAGGAAGCTGTAAGCCTCTCCACGTTTTATGCCTACACGCACACACAGGCATGCACACACACGTCTATCTTGCTGACATGCGGAGCCTGGATTAATCCTTTTCTTTGTAGTTAGACTGGTTGCCACAGCAACCAACCCTAAAGTCCTCAGAAGAGTCGGGTTGTAAATTATGGGATGTAAAGTCGTCAGATTGATTCAGATTTATCTCCAATTCTTCATAACTTTTTCCACCTCTTGTAAAACGATCTAATTAATTTTATTATTGCAAATTTTAGAAGAAAAAAAAAGCTGCATGCACTTGATAGTTTGCGCGCGCGCGCGCACGTGTGTCTGACATTTCCCGGTCCCAGCCTTGGCCCGGGGACTCTGACTCTGCTGGGGGAGGGAGGAACGCCTCGAGGACTCTCCCCGGTTCTTTCCCGTCCAACACACACGCACACACACACGCACACTCAGACCTGGATGATGATCCCGCGCTGACTAACAAACACCGCGTCGTCCTAAAACACGCGCAGCAGCTGCAAAGCAGCGCAATCCGAGCGTGAAAATCTGCGGGACTTTCTGTCCTCTGGCTGCTTTCTAAATTTAGACCTCTGCCTTGCATGTTGCTGCGCGTGCATTATTAGCTCCATTTTTTATATAAAATATCCTGACTATAGTGTAAGATGGATTCAGTCCATTTAGTCGCAACTCGCTCTTTTAGAGCTTAAAATAATTTCCAGGTTTCCTGCAGAGATTTCTGCTCAGCCCTGTCACAGCAGATCACGTGTGTGTGTGTGTGTGGGGGGGGGGGGGGGTGAGGTGGAGATCTGTGCAATGTAGCCACTATTTCATCAAAAGAATAGCTTCAGTGTTTTGGAGGTGATGATGATGATGATGCGCTGTTGTCTGAGCGGGGAGCTGTCCGTGGTACTGCAGCTGCAGGATGCGCATCATGTCTGCCACGAGTTGCGTCCCTGCACAACATCTGGAATCAAGCTATTAACGAGCCGACATGAGCAAGAAGTCAAAAAATCATTATGGCTGCTTTTAAAAGTCTTAAAAGTGCGCGTTTTGCTTCACACTGCAGATTACTGCAAACGTTTGGCCGTTTAGATCACAACAATATAAGCTAAGAAAAAACAGTATTTAGGCCTTAGTGTGTGTGTGTGTGTGTGGGGGGGGGGTGCTGCAGGCAACATGCTCATTTCACAAATTGTTTTTGTGTTAGAATGCAGCTGAAGTGGACAGGTTTATGTAAATATTTAATTATGCCAACGAAACTACCTTTGATTGTAAATACACGTGTGAGTGTTGTGTTTGGCCCCTCGTGCTGTTTGAAGCAGGTGAAATGTGAAATGAGTTTAAAAAGCCTGACCTTTGTCTTTTCTCCTCTTGTGATCATAAACACCCCGTCGAGGGAATAAACGTCTCTCTTTTTTTTTTATTATTTTTCTGCCACACGCGCGCGACTCGGGAGCGCGAGAGCTCTGGCACGCCATGCAAAGACACGTGCACGCTCCTCATCCCCCTCCACCTCCTCTTTCCTTCTTTCTCTGAGATTCCAGTGTCACCAACAGGACTCCAAACTGCTCGTGGAGGGAAAATGCACATTTTTACATTTTAACGACAGCCCAGGACACATGTTGTCTTTTGTCTCTGTTTTATAGGATTTTCATTGTGGCCTGGGGTGTTTTCTGAGGATGGAGTAATATGGATGTGCAGGACAAGATCATTTTCTAACACTTTGGATGGTTAAAACGCATGAAGAGGCAACAGGCATGGTTTTAATAGCAGCCTAGAATTAAACAGATCACCCTGAGATCAGTTTGGGCTCCTCTTCATTAGGTTTTTGTTTTTCAGCTGAAGAAGGAATTTATTTGGGATCACAATGGCTCATTTAATCCGACACAAGATCACCAACAAGCTGACCAACGCGGCCCACACGGTGTCCAACAAATCCCAGGCCAAGGTCAGCGGGATGTTCGCTCGGATGGGCTTCCAGGCCGCCACGGATGAGGAGGGTCTGGGCTTCGTCGAGTGCGACGACCTGGACTACGACTACAGGCAAGGGATGCAGATGGATGTCCTCCGCGGGGAGGAGGAAGGGGGAGACGTGGAGGGAGAGGGGGAGCTGGACGGGGACAGCCACTACCAGAGGGACGGGAAGGGTCCGAGGGCGCTGAAGTCTGGAGGATCTCTGGACGAGGACAAACCCAAAATCACGTCATGGGAGGCTGGCTGGAACGTGACCAACGCCATCCAGGTACACCGCTCCCCCTGCACGACACGAGCGTGGTCTGCACGCGCCAGGCCTAAAAAGAAAAAAGTCACCTTGACATTTTTTCACATCTTATGTTGGAAAGTAACGAAACAATATGAAATAAATGATTTTTTAACGTGCTGAAACTTTAAAATGTATTTAAATCGTGATGGAATTTTATGCCGGTTCCAATTATATATATTTTTTTTACAAGGGGGCGTGGTTATTTTTGGATCCGCCCATTTTATATATAGCCTATTCATTTATTTATTTATGTATTTATTTATATTCAGTGAGTTCAAATTTTGGGAATCTGCGCTGGTGACAAAAAAAATATTTTTTTGTTTGTTTTGTTTTACTTCTTGTTTGTTACACAGCTGTAAAAAAAAAAACAAGTTGTAGGTTAAATTGTCCTAGTTTTTTTTTTTTAATAACGTTACAAACTATTAGTTCATGTTTTATTATCTCTAGTAAAATGTTATCTTTTACTATGGTGGAAAGGTACCAAACTCAATAAAAACTCAACAGATGTATATTTATCCTGACCACTGATAATAAGCACGTTTATTAAATACAATTTGCTGAACGTTTCATGGCGATATATAAAAAGAAATTAAGACATTATGATAATTTATCTGATCAATAATATTTTTTATACATTCAGTCTAAATTTATGGAGGTTATTTAACCAGAACTATGGATTTTAAAGAGTTAAATTAAAATATATGATCCTGTGTTCACTTGAGATATTTTTTTTCTTTCGAATTAAAAATAATCTCTTTTGAAACAAACCTTGAAAAATATATATTTGGAAGAGTCACAACCGTTTCTGTTCGGTTCAGAACTGGTAAGTGAAATTGTTCCAGTTTATCTTCCACACGTTCAGTCAGACCCACATGGAAACTCAGTGAGTTCACAGCAGTGTGTGTGTGTGGGGGGGGGGGGGGGGGGGGGTTTGGGGGGGGGGGTACTTTATTTATTTAAATCTTTTTATCAGAGAGGCTGCAGGCAGGATCTGACTGGGCAGGATCTGACTGGCTTTGATAGGCACCAGGATGAATGGCACCTTCTTATCAGGTTTAGGTCCGGTTCAGATTAGGATCATCAGATTAGGTTTTAATCAAAAACATGAAAATTTATTTTTTAATTTTTGTTTTCAATGCATTGGTTTCATCCATTACTACATTTCCAGATTATTATAAAATAAACAATGAATCCTACATGCTCATCTAGTTTATTTATTTATTTATGTATTGTTATACTGAAGCTTGTTGAAATGGTTTTATTATGTAAGATGGTGAAGTGGGCGGCCTGTCACTCCGATGTGGGCCTCGGTCTCTGACCCGCTGCGCCTCTGTGTCCGCAGGGCATGTTCGTCCTCGGCCTGCCGTACGCCATCCTCCACGGCGGATACCTCGGCCTCTTCCTCATCATCTTCGCCGCCGTGGTGTGCTGCTACACGGGCAAAATCCTCATCGCCTGCCTGTACGAGGACAATGAGGACGGCGTGAAGGTGCGCGTCCGGGACTCGTACGTGGACATCGCCAACGCGTGCTGCGCGCCCCGCTTCCCGCGGCTGGGCGGCCACGTGGTGAACGTGGCTCAGATCATCGAGCTGGTCATGACGTGCATTCTGTACGTGGTGGTCAGCGGGAACCTGATGTACAACAGCTTCCCCGGCTTCCCCGTGTCCCAGAAGGCCTGGTCGGTGCTGGCCACGGCCGCGCTGCTGCCGTGCGCCTTCCTGAAGAACCTGAAGGCCGTGTCCAAGTTCAGCCTCCTCTGCACCCTGGCGCACTTCGTCATCAACGTCCTGGTGATCGCCTACTGCCTATCCAGGGCGCGCGAGTGGGCCTGGGAGAAAGTGAAGTTCTACATCGACGTGAAGAAATTCCCCATCTCCATCGGCATCATCGTGTTCAGCTACACCTCCCAGATCTTCTTGCCCTCCCTGGAGGGGAACATGCAGAGGCCCAGCGAGTTCCACTGCATGATGGAGTGGACCCACATCGCCGCCTGCGTCCTCAAGGGCCTCTTCGCGCTGGTGGCGTACTTGACGTGGGCGGACGCCACCAAGGAGGTGATCACGGATAACCTGCCCTCCACCATCCGGGCGGTGGTGAACCTCTTCCTCGTAGCCAAGGCGCTGCTGTCCTACCCGCTGCCTTTCTTCGCCGCCGTGGAGGTTCTGGAGAAATCCCTTTTCCAGGACGGCGGCAGAGCCCTCTTTCCTGACTGCTACGGCCCCAATGGGCAGTTAAAAACCTGGGGTCTGGGACTTCGAGTGGGACTGGTGGTCTTCACCCTGCTCATGGCCGTCTTTGTCCCTCATTTCGCCCTGCTCATGGGTTTAACTGGAAGCCTGACGGGCGCGGGCCTGTGCTTCCTCCTGCCCAGCCTCTTCCACCTGAAGCTCCAGTGGAGGAACCTCCTGTGGCACCACGTCTTCTTTGATGTGGCCATTTTTGTTATTGGAGGCGTGTGCGCCATTTCTGGCTTCATTCACTCAATTGAAGGGCTCATAGAGGCCTTTAAGTATGATATCCACGACTGAGAGGTCCAGAGAGGAAAAAAAAACAACAAAAAAGAATAAACTTTTGACTAATTGTCATAAAGGAGAATATTCTGTGTGAAATGTACATCTTTTTATTTATTTATTTGCCTTCGTGATTATGTGCAATAATAAACTCTACAGTTTTAGTGTAAAGTAGTTACTCATTACAGAAAGTGTTTTCAAAATGCGAGGAATGACTTGTGCATCAACAGTCTGGTGAAAATGTTCACCAGGAGTGTAAATGTGTGTTTGTGTTCATGCTGCTGGAACAATCAGACGAAACATGGAGGCGTCAGGAAACATAAAAAAAACTATGTGTAGTGGTTTGACAAAAAAAAACTGTTGGGTTTTGTGTTTTTTATTCAGATTGAAGTCGTCAACTCCTTTATTTTATTTTATTTATTAATTTTTGGTGTTTCAGTCTGGATGAAGTGAATCCAAGTGCAAAGCAAGTGGGTCCTCATGTGTTTCTATACAAGTGTCTCTGATAATATTCTGTTCCCAGTGAACTTGTTGTGATTTAATGGAACTAAACATGGTGTGTGAGACTATGAGTATTTGTTGCATTAAGAGAAATAAATGAGATATTTTATGGCTGGTGATTCTAATGCCTTTTTGTCGTCGTCGTTGTTCTGGGAATGACTTTGAGGTGTAATTCCTCTTTTAAAGGTTAATGAAGCTTCTTTTGAAGAAACAGGCTGCAGTTTAGTTTCACAGCTCAAAGGGCTCTCAAAAGTCTGAGAAACTGGTCCAATGGGCTGAAGTTTTTTTTACATTTCAGCATTTTTAAGCATGTTTTATAGTCGTTTGAACAAAACCTTGAAGAAGTCAACACATATTTGAATTTCCTTATGACTAATCTCAGTTCGAGGATGGGAACTTTTTTTTTTACAGGAAAGTAAAAGATAATAATAGTAATTTACTTTCCTGCTCCTTGCTAACAACTATGAACACGACACAAGTTTTTAATTTCTTCTTGTTGACTTTACAGTGGGCGGCACAGTGGTGCAGTTGGTAGAGCTGCTGCCTCTCAACTAGCAGGTTGCGATGGGTCAAATCCTGGTCTGGGGAGCTTTCTGAGTTTGCATATTCTCTCCATGTGTGGGTTTTCTCCAGGTACTCTGGTTTCCTTCCACAAACAAAACATGCATGTTAGACTGATTGGTAACTCTAAATTGTCTTGTGAGTGAGAGAGTGAATGGTTGTTTGTCTCGTTTGTCCCTGTGATGGACTGGAGACCTGTCCAGGATGTCCCTCGCCTCTCTAGCTGGACATGGGCACCAGTGACCCCTGTGACCCAAAAAGGAAAAAGCGGGTAAAGATAATGGATGGATGGATGGATGGATGATGGATGGACGGATTGATGAATGGATGGATGGATAGATAGATGGATGGATGGATGGATGGATGGATGATGCATGGATAGATGGATGGATGGATGGATGGATGGATAGATGGATGGATGAATGGATGAATGGATGGATGGATGGATAGATGGATGGATGGATGCATGCATGCATGCATGGATGGATGGATGCATGGATGGATGATGCATGGATAGATGGATGGATGGATGGATGGATGGATGGATGGATGGATGGATGGATGGATGGATGGATGGATGCATGGATGGATG